AAAAAAATTATTAACATAAATAAATAAATGTAAACGATTTTTTAAATCGTTCGGAAACCCGTGATCACCCTCTGTATGTTACATATAAATTTTTACTAAAATAAATAGTCATAACTTTTCATATTAATCTAATTTGAAAAATTAAATTATACTTTTATAGCTTTTGATCTATACTATTAAGATATGATAAATTTTTAAAATAATATTTCTTTTTGAATTTTATAACTATTTAAAAATAGGGCTCAAGAATTGATACGACTAGGGTACTTGAGCTGTAGAATACTCTCACATAGTTACTTTATAATTTTTCCTCTCAGTTGCTATTTTTTGATTGCTAGATAAGGCACGAAGTATCAAATTTGTAATCCATCTATTTGCTGAAGATGTGGTACAATCTATTCACTCACTTTTTGATTGCCAGTCAAATATATGCAAAGTGTTAATATTATGCTATTTTTGCAATTCTACCTTTTGTGACCCTTTTGATTGCTAAAGATGAGGCATAAAGTGTCAAATTAACTCAGGCTATATTGCTTTTATACCTTTTTTTGTGTATTCTTTTGAGATTTTTACATTTCTGATTTTTTCCTGCTTATTAGCAATAGTACGTAAAAGCATAATTTTTTATTTTCTTTCTTATATATTATTCTACCTTTAGATACTAGTAAATTTATATCTTATTTTATGCTCTTGTATTTCTAGAACTCTTTCTTGTATAATTGCTATTTTAGTATACCTATATCTGATTACTTTAGGTTATTACTACATCGATTACTTTTAGGTATTATCATATCGATTACTTTTAGATACTACTACATTGATTACTTTTAGGTATTATTACTGACCTAATAGCTTGCTAGAAATTTTAGCAAATACATATATATTTTTATTTAAACTTTACAAGTTTTTATGTAATTTTATACCAGTTTCTTGCATATATTATCATATTTGTACAAAAAAATTTTGGACCTAATTCTAAAATAATAAATGAAGTAACTAGGCTCTTCTCTAATTTAGCAAACTTCAATTATGAGTCTGATTATAATGATTATGTATACTTTCAATATTTGTCTAATAGTAAAGATGATGTTGTTCTTCTAGATACCTATCATTCTGAAGAAATTTTTGATAAATATATAGTTCAGGTGATATGAAAGGGTTTATAGTTATTGATTACCCATCTGAAGTTTATAGATTATCTGATACTCATAAGTATATTAATAGGAATTTGCCTCTTCATCTAATTCTAGATATTAACACTAGGCAAAATCTGATCCTATAAATCCTGAACTTCTTTTCTTAGATATATATAAAATTTCTCATAAAAATTTATTATCCAAAATCTTAATTGCCTGTGCTGATATTATATATTCTGATTTAAATCTTTTCATAATTTCAAATGCTATTGCTTTAGCCAGATTATTTAATACTAATAAATGCAGTTAATATATCATGTATCCTTATGCTTATTTTATTAATTACAGAGACTTTAAGAATTTTGTAGAAAAAGTTACTGATAAAGTTGAAAAGTTATATTCAGAATTTATTAATATTGGACTCTATAAATCTCATTTCAGCCTTTGTTTTCTTAGATTGATTAAAGAAGATAGAGTTAAAAAACCTGCAATTTCTTCTATCAAGAAAGGATATTACGAGCTAAAAAATTATTTAGTTTAGCCTAAATCAATTATTCTGAAATCTGACCCTGAACCATTTTCTTTAAAAAGTCAAAAAAAGAGGAATTCTAACCCATTGTAGATAAAATTACTTAAGCATAAAAGCTGATTTGGTTATCACAAAATATGGATGGCTTGAGTTTAGTGACATTAGAAAGGAATTTGTTAACTTTCAAGCTTGATCATTAGAAGCATATCCTATTTGTGATATTAAATATGAAAAAGACTAGTTATATGGCTTTTTTCTTAGAAACAAGAGCTTTATGCGTAAATGTTATTAGCAAAAGTAATATAAATTATAGTAGAACAAAATAGTTAAAAGAAGAATACATTATTCTGAGATCTTACAAAATGATAATAAAATTAAAATATGCATTTTCGCTTCTCCTCAAAGCAGATAAGAATAACTATCTTATGTATCTGTTCATATTGTAAGACTTCGCAGAACAGAATATGTATTCTTTACAATTAAATCTAGTTCTCTATGAAATGCAAAGATTAGAATACAAATTAGAAGTAATGCACTTTAAAAGAAATACGCTTTAAACATCTACCATAAATGTATATAGAAAAGATGCTTATTTTTGAAAATGTTTTCTCAAAATTGCTCCAATTTCTTCTAACATGTAACTATTTCTGATCGGTAACTTGCAATATCTATCCTATGTTGATCTAAAAAGATCTTTATGTCTGTACCTACTGCTCATTTCTAAATGTTCAACCTCAATAATAGATTTCTTTAGCTATATAAGAAAAACTCTATCTGCCTTCTGCTCAAATGATATGATATATTTGCGTCTCTTATGACATGACTTAACTGAAAAAAGTATTATCTCTCCTCTTATATAAAAAGTAAAAATGCATAATAACAATCAATAAAATCTCTAGAAAATTAATGAAGATCAAAATTATTACTCATATATGATAGTGTATGCTTTTCTTTAAACTGAAAATTACAATTTGCAATAAAGGATGTATAACATAACCTTCATAGTCTGATTTTAATATATCTGATTGTTGCATTACAGAAAACTTTGAGAATACTTTTTGATGACTATGAGAAAAGAAAAAAGTTTAGCAGATAAAAACTGGCAAGTTTTAACAAAAGATACTTACAATATAGATAAAATTTTAATATAAAACTTGTGAAAGCATCTTGCAAAGAAAACATAATACAAGTTATTTTGAGCCCCTCCATGAGAAGTTTTCTAACATTTTTATCTTAAACTATTTCATGAATATTATTTAGAAGCTAAATTTTCTTTATGTTTCATCCTAAAGATTTAAATAACCTTTATTGCAAAAGTGTAAATTTTAGAATTCTTCAAGAATAAAGTAAGAAATTGGTGTAAAAAGAAAAGCATACTTATCTTTAAAGCCTAGATATTATTTCCATACAATTAAAAATAGTTACATGTCTTGTATATTTCTGAATTTTTGAATAATCCTCACTGCTACACTATTTCAATTTCAGAATTTTATAATCACACTGAATAATTCTCTAAGCTTCAGGTCTAAAATTAAATAATTAGAATTAGCACAGTCACATAATACTAGTTAATAATCTTAATAATCCATAATCTACCTAAGAGGATGTCCTTTTTTACAGGTAAATTTATCCAAAAAATCAGCCACGACTACATCAGATTTTAGTATCCATTTCTCATTAAAAAGATGCTCAGATGCTGATACTGATTTCTCATCTGTTTCTTAAAAGATCAGCTCAGAATTAATAATTATTTTTTCTTCACAAGCCTGTAATTAAAATTCGCATTCTGAAAATAATTTAACTTTTGAAAAAAAATAGTTGAAAAAAACAAAAATGATTTAATAACTATTTATTATCTCTAATCTCATTTAAACTAAATACAATATTTAGAGTTGTATTTTCATTTAATTTCATTTGAAAGATCACAGAATATATATATATAGTAAATAACTTGCTATTAAGAAGTAATTTAAAGGTCTTATAATTTCATCTATTTGGCTGGCGATACAAATGGTGTTTCTTCATCACTATTTAACTTACAAGCTGACTTTATGATCTTTATTCCTTTACAAGATGAAGATAGGCTATAAATATAATCAGGATCATTAGGATTATCATCATTATTGTCATTAACAGACTCATTAGAATTATTTTCTTTGGTATTATATATCTCTTTTACAAACTCGTTGTGAAGTGGTGAATTGCTTTCTGATTCTTTAATACTTTCATTATTATTATTCAACTTACAAGCTGCTTTTGCAACCTTTTTTTCTTTACAGAATGAAGATTCTGAGCTATAAATATAGTCAGAGTCGTCATCATTATTATCATTAACAAATTTTGTAGATATATTAGATTTCAGATTGAGTAATCTTTTTCTTTTACAAACTCATCATTAAGTGATGAATTACTTCCTGGTTTATCATTATAATCTTTATTTACTAAGATCTAGATATTAGAAGAAAAGTTAATTTACTATGTATGATAGTTTGTTGTAGAATATACATATATCATACTTCTCTACTAGTTTCTGGAGAATAAACATCTTTATCTTTTGTATCTATTACTAGATTAGTTGAGGTAGTTTTCATCACTTCCTCTATATTGATTTTGTGTTTAAATTTACATGATTCTAATAAGTAGTTAGAGTATATTATCTTCTTCTTCTTTATATCTTTATTTAATGACATATGATATTTATGCTATGTAAATAGTTTATATCATTAGAGTAGAATATCAGAAAATTAATGTCATATTCCTGAGCTCATCACTTTGATTTCTTCATTTTTTACTAATTTATTAAGACTAGTTAACCATTCTCCTTTCATTTTTTTATAAATTTTCAAAAAAATAAGCAAGATAAGAAAGGATATTAGTTAATAGTTTAAATAAAAAAATATATATTAACAAATCTATTGTGCAATGAGAAAACTCAGGGTGACGTGAGAATACTCTATATAGTATTAATGCTTTGTCTAATAGAGTACAATAGTAGCAATATGTTAAAAAAACCTAGAATAACGTGAGGACATTTCATATAGTATTGATATGGTTTAAAGCCAAGTTGCGTTATTAATAGATTATGCTCATTTGAATAGAAAATATACTAACCTTAAAATGATTTCTTTAGTGAAATTGTCTTTAAGCATTTCAAAGAGTCATACTTTTGCTCGATAAAATTCAGACATTTTTTTGTACTTATAATTGTAGATTTTTATAGGATTAGGTAAAAGCAACCTTTTGTTAAAAGCGTAATGTATAAAGCTTAAGTAAAATTAACTATCGGTAGGATATTTGTTAAAATAATCAGAGTAAGGAATAAGTTTTTCTTTTAACATATTACTATAATATTACTATACATTTATTTACCAAACTACAAATAAAACTTGATCAAAAAAATAATAGTGCAAACTTATTTTATACAATTCCACAACCCACTCCATGCAAAATAAATTATAAAATGTCTGATAAATTTGTATCATTGCTTTATTGATCAAATTATCTGAGGACATTCACATTACTTATATATTCCTTCTGTCACCTTCTTACACCTTTTGTAATATAGATGTGAGTAATGATTGCACTTATCACAAACTTTATATCTATGCTTCCATTCCCTAAATATATAACATTTTTAAAGTAGTTCTGCCTTAGTAAAGCATTTTTAGCTCTTTATAAACTGTATTATTCTGATTGTTTGTTAATAAATTTAGTATAATATATAAGTATTAATATAGTTAAAAAAATTTTTGTAATGATTAAAATTTCATTTATCTTGGGATTTACATAGTCCTACTGTATTATTTCAGCAATACATTTATCATAGTAATGAGTAATAATTATGTATTTTTTCAGATGATTAATTTCATATAATCTATTTTATCCTATACTATAATTGTAAACTTGAGTTTATTGCTTAAATGTTGTAGGTAAAATAATATTTCAACTTATCTTAGAAATATAACTTTACTAATTCAGGATTATAAGGAAGCTAATTCCTATTTTTGCAATACTATGAGCTGTGTAATCTATAATCCTTATATATTTCATCACAAATAAGACATGATGAGCTTTACAATTAAGGTGATATAAAATTATAATTGTCAATTTCTCTAAAACTATTTCAGAATTTCAAGTATGAAAAATGCTCTAAGACAGATTTGATAATTAATTCTGAATCAGGTTTGGCTTCGAAAGTAATAGGTTCTTTTTCTTCATATTGCTCAGAAAAAGATAAATAGAACACTTTATTTTCTGGCTTTGAATTTATGAGAAGGCAGGCTTCTAATAATTACCATGGCTCATATTCAGTTATTTTTTTTATATTTTTTGTATAATTTAAAATGAATCTTATCTGTTAAATCGCTTGGTAACTCATTTAATTTGACATACTAATCCAAATACTCAAGGGTTAATACTTTATTAGACTTACTTATATTGCCTTTTTATATGATCGCAAATCAATTTAAATTACAGTAAGTAATAGTTAGCATAGATTATTCCTGTAAAAAAATATCACAATAAAGCATGAACAAATAAAATAATGAGACTATACAACTATTTCAATTTCACACTATTCACATTTAATAAAATAAGATCTAGCTTTATATGTATATTCTATGCTTTTCTTATCATTATATTTTAACTCATATAATGGACATAATTTCTTATTAGTAATTTCATAATAATCAAAATTTTCGTTACTAAATTCTCTGTATAAGTTAGAATACCTATTTAATATCTTGTTGCAAAAATATGTTTGATCATAAATTGGGCTAAATTGAGATGCAGATAATACATATACATTTGCTGATATATTAACTTCAGTTAATTCTAAAGCTGACAGAGCATTTATGATTCTTTCATTGATTTCAAGATTTTTGATCACATGATTTTGACAGGGGTTTTCAGCTAAAATTTTAGGAGTTGGAAAATCATCTTTCTGTTTGGAGAAATTATCTATAATCTCTTGAACTTTATTATTAGTTAATTCTGAAATAGAGTTCATATATAAGTTGAGATATATTTAATATTATTTATACCTAAGTTTTCAAATATATTGTATATTTTTACGACTTTCTGAAAGTTAATTCTGAAATAGAGTTCGTATATAAGTTAAGATATACTTAATATTGTTTATACCTAAGTTTTTAAATATATTGTATATTTTTATGACTTTCTGAAAGTTAATTCTAAAATAGAGTTCGTATATAAGTTGAAATATACTTAATATTATCTATACTTAAGTTTTCAAATATATTATATATTTTATGACTTTCTGAATTATTTCAGATTTCTTTTTACGAAGAATGAAAAGGTGCTCTAATAATTTATTATAGATTATTCCCTTTATCTTTTTTTCATTAATTTTGCTCTTACCATTCTGTATAATCATACTAATCTGAATTAAAAACTCTTTCCATAATAATACTAGTGCAAAATCTCTTTTTAATTAGTATGAATTGTGATATATTCAGCATCAATCACTTTATCAAATAATTGAGCTAGAGAAAGAATCCCTCTAGAACTAAGAAATGGAACTATAAAAGAATTTTAGTAGGGACCTTAAATCACATTATAAGAAATAGCTTTGTCACTTGATTAGACGTCATCTTTAATATCATCAACTAGCATAGCGGGCTTAAATTTGATTGGTTGATCTTTAAAATGATCGTCACATAGTAAATTCTTATAAAAATAATGATCATCTAACTTTAAATGGATTGGTAATCACATAAACAAATTGGCAGAAGGTATGACAAAAAAAATCTAAAATATACCTTCTATTTTATATACTGTTAAAATAATTCAAAAAACGGTAAGATAATTCAGAAACTATCTAAGAAACGATTATTTTATTCTGTTACAACAAATACAAAGAAAAAAAGAAATATAAAATAAAATGTTTACACAAGAAACCCGCCATGAAGATTCAGCCCTTCCAGTGAGAAAAAGAAAAAAAGAAAGACTTGACATTGTGATTTAAAGAGTCAGAAGGATGTCATCTGTGATTATGAACAATATAACACATCTATCGTATTTGATAAAGTAATGATACCAAGTTCAAGTCAATATTTGGACTTGGTTGGCAAGGCTTTGTGCTGAAAACATTACAATAAATTAATAGTAAATGCAAAAAAATCTAAGGTAACAATGTATGTTTACATCTAAAGCACCAGATCTATATTTCTACAGCTCGATATGGTATAGAAATAAAGAATATCAAAAAGGTTTCAGAACAATTGATCAAATTCTTTGAACTACTACAAAGGATATAGATGTATCGTCATTGTTTAAATAAAACTGATAATGATTCAGAATATATTAACTCATCTAATTATTCATTACCACCAAAAAAAATTTTAAAAGAGAAAATAACAAAATTTCAAGGTAGATCATATGTTTTATGAAATGATATTATTTACTCTCAATCTGAATTTCAGGAACTGGAGTCTATATATTATGAAGTATGTACAGAGCTTGACGAAGCAAAGCTAGGTAAGCAAACAATATTTTATTTGTTATTGGGTTCTCAATTATTTTATTAACAACCGTTATGACGGATTAGCAGATTAACATATGAAACTTAAATTATATTATATAATAATTATCCTTTAAAGTTGATTTTTTTCAATAAAAAAATTAAATTAATGACAGGAGTGTTATATATAAGGTAATGTGTATATAATGAAAGACCTATTTTTAATCTGAAAGAGTTCAAAAAAATGCTTGAGAAAGCTGAACCGTTATTAAAAGGCTTTTTTAATCAATTAGTAATCAGAACTAACCCACAAACTAAGAACTATATGACTAACGAGAAAAATAAGAAAAGATTGATTTCATTTTGCTATTTTCTAGCGGGCCTTAATAATAAATTTATTTAATAGAGTTAAGGCGGATATTGGGTTTTTACTAGATACATCTGAAGCATCTTCATCAGCAATAGATACCTTAGCTGGTGCAGGTTTAACGGTAAGGCGTAAAACTATTACAAAGTAGAAAATTCAGCATATAAAAGCTCATACAGTAACAGTGGAAAGGTTTTTATCAAAAAACGTAGGTATTAAATATTTATTTTTTTTTAAAATTGGTAACTAATCTAACTGTATACAGTCAACTCTTGATATAGCGAACTCTTGATATAATGAATTTTTTGAACAAATATAATAAAAATACTCTTGTTATAGCGAATTGGCCAATCAAATCTCTTAAAATCTTCACTATAGCCTTATAGCGAAGTTGAGGTCTAGGACATAGAGTTCATTATAACAAAAGTTGACTGTATATGTAATCTTTTAACAGATTGAAAGCTTAGTTATTCTCAATATAAACGATTTTTACAATATTCACAAATATCATTATAGTGATATAATAACTATACATAAAGTCTCCATTTTATTATAATACTCTTGAAAGCCTTACCAGAAATGTCATATATTTCATTTAATAATCCTAACCAAGAAAAAAGTATTTATAACAAAAAGGGTGTTAATTCAGATATTATTATAGAGAATGCATATTCATCTTTCTTTCTTATTTATGGCTAAGTTATGTAAAACAAAAGCAAATATTTGCCAACTTAATGTCTACA